CGCAGAGGTTTTCATGGCCAGAACTGGTTTCATGGCAACTTCCTCAGGGCTCAGCCCGAGCTCCTGCATTAGGCAATGGGAGGATTTTTATGAGATGGAAAAACAAAAAAAAAGAAACACAAAACAATTTGAAATCAGAAACTTTCCCCAGTTGTGTGGTATCTGGGGGCGTTCACTGGTGCCCCCTTTAAATAGGGAACGCTCTCCCAGTGGGCTGCCAGTGCCTGCGAGCAAAGTCCCGCTGGGCACCGGCTCCCCCGCGCCCGACAAGCTCTGCCGCAACCCCGGTCCGAGGCCTCTGGTGAGTGCAAGGCTTCCGCAGGGCTCCAGGACTAGATGGGGATGGATTTTATGTCCACAGGCACCTGAGGCAGCCTGGCACTGGGTGCGTGTGGGTTATCAACCCTCCTGGCACGAGCAGTTTGAAAGGGCTTCCTCTAAGCGTGCTCCATTCCTCGACTGCCCATCCCAAGGAGCCTGCGAGGCCCCTGGAACCTCACCTGGAGGAGGCGGACACTTGGATTTACCTAAATACCTTATTATTTCAGCAATTATTTTAAAATGGTTGGAATTAATATGAAATGAATGTGAAGAACTTGCCTCGTGCTTAATACCAGGGTTGGGAGCACTGGCAGACCTGCAGGCACTGAGCAGATTCAAAACCAGTTGAGAGGTGTGAGGGCGAGCCGGGGAGCTCTGCAAGCCTCACGAGGACCCCTCCAGCTCCCACATCACTGTTTCTGAACGCTGTCCCATGTTCTTCTCACAGATTCAGCTGGCTGGTTCCTCAGGACAGAGATATCCCAGTTCCGAGACGAGTCCCTGAGCAGCAAGAAGCCATCGCTCGCACGGTACCTGGAGCGTGACCGGGTCCCAGAGCACCACAGGAGAACAAACCTTCGCTCCAAGTGCTGTAATATGCTTTTTCCATCCATGCTGCTTCAGTCCATCTTCCGGGCCACCAACTGATGAGATGGCAGAGAGCGCCGAGCTCCAGCCAAGTTTTGAGGACGTTTTCAACATTCTATCCCAAATCCCCCACGATAAACTCCTGAGCCTCAAATATAAACTGAAGCACTTGATTTTTGGGCCCAGCAGCAAATTACTGCAAGCCATGGTCCTTCTTACTCTGGGGCAAGAAGTGGATGCAAGAATTTGTTTGGATGACTTGGGAGACAACCAGGCAGCCCGGTATGTCCACCAGACCAAACTGGGCGCTGCAGGAGCGCAGGAAGATGAGGAGGATTTGCAGCCTCCCCAGCTGGATGCAGGTGCCACGGCGCTTCTGGCACAGATCTACTCGGTGCTGGAAAAGGAAAAACTGTGCAGTCGGGAAGCCCTGGACAAAGCCCATCAGGCTGCCACCAAAGCCCGTGACACCAGCAAGGAAACTCAGGGGGACACGCTCAACAGCATCCCAGCTGAGGACCGGGAAAAACACGGCTCTGCTATCAGCATGGGCTCAGGTGACGAATTTCAGACGCTGAGATCTGATGTGGACGTAGGATTTCTCCCCAGCCCGAACTACGTGGTGAGAAGTTCCCCGGTGCCGATTGGAGGCAACTCAGAGCTTTCAGGCCCACGGACCTTACGCCCTTTGGGGAGTCTCTCCTTCTCCAGTTGCTTTGAGATCAGCGCATCACCAACAGCTGTTTTTCACACCCAGCCTTCCTCCCATGAGCGCGTCCCCCAGCCCAACCGGCTGTGCGAAGGGACGACCAGCGGTGCTGGACAGCCCGACGGGGACACACAGAGCCACGACCTGCAGGAAACAAGCTGGGCCAGCAGACCCAACTCCCATCCCGGGCCCAACACAGGTGCCCAAGTCCCCCAGCCAGAGAAAGCTCTGCAGGTCAGTTCATGTCATCCAACTCTCTCTCCTACGGAAACGCAGCTGCCCACGCTGGGTGCTGGGATCCAACCTGACGAAAGCAGTGATGTTTCCAGCACGGTGGCAGCAGACCCTCAGGCACCAGAAGAAAGCACAGACAAAAAGCAAGATGAAAAGCAATTATCTACAGGTCTTCCTGACTTAAGAGCTACAGTGGAGACTAGTCCTGCCCACAAGTCCACAGAGGACTCCTATGTTCCAGCAGGCATTTCCTCTAACTCTGCATCTGCTTCCATTTCAGCCTGTTCCATTCCTCCTCCTACCTATTCCTTCTCCACAACCCTTCCCTCTCCTCTTCAGGGAGCTCCTTCCAACTCAGCATATCCCCCTCCCCTCCACTCATCCCCTTCTCCAGCCTGGCCTCCTCCTCTCCAAGGTGTAGAAGCAGTGCCCACATCAGAGCCAGACAGTGGAAAGTTCTTCACTTTCGTTGTCATGCACGCTAGTCAAGACGAGATTATCGCCCATCGGGTCAAGAACCTGCTGGAGAGCATGGGGGTTCCCAACGGTGCCACACTCTGTGAGGACTTCTTCATTGCTGGACGCAGCCATCTGACTTGCTTCCAGGATGCTATGGAAAACTCTGCCTTCATCATCCTTCTGCTAACCAAGAACTTCCCATGCGACCTGTGTATGTTTCAGACAAACACTGCTCTGATGGAGTCCATCCTGAAACCATCCAAGCGTGACTCTGTCATCCCTTTTGTGCCTAAGGAGAACCCTCTGGAGCGGAGTCAGATTCCCCTCACACTTGGTGGGCTGATGCCCTTGGATGAGAACTCTCCTGGGTTCTCCAGGACAGTGCAGAACACCTTTACCACCCGCAGGATCACGCAAAGGAAAGCCATGTGGGACCTGACGCAGAGAAAGAAACTTCAGTTTTATCAGGAATCGTATCAAACACTGCAGAACTTCGCTACTCTGAACCTCGGCTCCCTTTCCCAGGTGCCTCCATCAGCAACACGGCCACAGCTGCTGGAGCGATCACCCCAGCAGTGGTGCCCCCGACCTTCAACTGTCCCTCCTGCCACATACCCACCTCACCCTGTGGCTGCTCAGATGGATCCCCCTCCTTTCCAACCACTTCATCTCCCACCAGGCCACTACAACATGATGCCAGGCACAGGAGGCATCATCATTCAACACGCTCGAATGGTTCAGATCGGGAACCACAACACGATGCAGGTGGAAACTGTCACACCAGGTCCAGAGGCCAGTGGGGAATAAACAAGGCAGAACACTTGATCAGAGATGCTGCAGGTCAGCCAAGGCCAGAGACACTGATGCTTCGTTTCAAACCCTAAATCATAGTGATTCTGCTGGGACTGGGACTATTTTTATTTCACTGTGGGTAAAAGGTGCCACTTTTCTGGAGCACAGGAGAAAACTACCTTCTTTTTTGTTGGACAAAAGAGGTTACCATCTCCTGAGACTGCTTTCCTTGTGCTTATTTTCAAGTAACTGAGAAAACTCTTTTCCTGATTTTCTGAGGCTACTGCAAGGTTTTATAAATAAATTTTAATTAATTTATTTGTATTTCTCTGGTTCCTTCCTGTAGAATTAGCAAAGGGGCAGTCAGGGATATCGGGAATAGTCTTCTGTCTCTACCTCTGGGGTGGAGGGAGCTGGGAGATGGCACAGGGGCTTTCTGTTTCACAATCTGCTGCTGACCAAACCATTTGAGGAAAAACCTTCAGGGCATGCTTTGAGGAGTCGCTGTGGCCTCCTGTCAAGGTACGAAGCACCACGAGGTCCCACCATTTTCTTCCCCCAAATCTTGGGATTGCAGAGTATCCCCTCGGCCCTTCGTGCTGATGCCTACTTGGCGTGCACGGTGCCCTCCCCTTGCTGCAGTGCACCAGCAGCACCATTCCTCCCCAGGCTTCTCGCATCAGACCCGGGAAGGCCCAGCCCTCCTCTGGGCTGAGGCACCACAAAACCACTTTTCCCAGTTCCTCTCTGAAACTACAGAGAGAGTTTTTTCTCTGTGAAAGACAAGATTCCCATGCGCCCCCGGGGGCACGGCTTGAAGGAAAGTATTTTTGTATTTAAGAAAACTCTGTTAGAGAACTGAGATTACACACCAGATAGAAGGCTAAACAAGAATCTTCACAGAAAAGCTGTGTTTGGGGAAAAAAAAAAATGAATGAAGGTGGAATGAGAGGGAGGAAACATGGAGAAAGTCTGAGCAGGCAGAAGCCGAGTGTTCACTCCTCTGTCCTTACCTCTTGTGAAAGGCCAGAGGTGGGAGCAGGGCCCTGTCACACTGGAGAAACGTTCCCTACTGAGACTACTCCACCTATTGATGTCATTGCCTTTGAGGAAAAAGTCTGATGGAAGAAAAAAAGCATTGAGCAGCAATGGGGTGCAATCACAGCAGGGGTGCAGAAAGTCCAGGAACAGGGATGTGCTCTGCAGGACCTGGGTGAGGGCTGCAGCAGGCAGATCCCTACTGAGCTTTTAACACAAGGAGGGTGTCTGAAGCGAAGCCCCAGACCCTACGCTCTACCTCCCACGGCTCCTGCCGCAGCCATTCGCCTGCTCTGTCAGTAGAGGTCAGCCCAAAGCCACCAGACAACTCGAAATGGGACCGTTCCCTCCGCGGAGGAGCCCAGCCCTGAGCTCTGGAACCAGCTCACCCTGCACCAGGGTCTCTGCAAGCTCCAGGGCGGCGCTCACCCTACTCCTCCTCATCCTAGGAAGGAGCCCGAGAGCTGCCAAGTCCTCGTTAAGGTGGACCTCGAGGACCCCATTTTGGGTATTTCTGCAGAAGTGTGTGAGCTTGTGTCACCCTGAGTAGCCACCCCAGTACGTTTCAAAGCGAAAGAAGTCAGCATGGTCTGGTAGCCAACGTGCAGGACTCCTGGACTTGGGACTACCCAAGGCGGGCACCCACAGCGCCTAATCCTGGATTATAGTCTTTGCCCAAGAACCATGCAAGCCTTACAACCAACACCTGTGGACAAAAGACACTAGTAAGTCCTTGGAGAAGACTGTTCAGCTGACACTAATCCCCTCTCAGGGAGCACTCTGGTCACTGGGCTAAAGACTGTCCAATTCTCACTCTTCCTCTCTGGCCCAACCTACCTCAAGCTTGCTCTGGACCTCCCTTACAAGCACCAGCCTAAATAAAGCTCACTGCTGAGACATGAATCCCCAGCACGGAGAACAGAACATGTGCTTCTCCTGAGCCCTGGCTCCTCAGAGGACAGCAGGTGACAGTTTAATGGACAGTCCCCTCCACCCATCCTGTGTGGAAAGCTGGAACTGCTGCCTTCTTCTTTTCCAGCAGCTTGTGCCCCTCAGGAGGGGCAGAGGATGTCTGCAGGACAATGCCAGAGAGCCTGGGCATTGACCAAACTTCAGTGCAAGCTCTGGAGCTCCTGGGCAACACCAGATGTAGGAGCTGAGAGCTGATGTGTCCCTACTCTTAAACAGCAACAGAGTGGTGGCTATCAGAGCTTGGGATTTAAATCCCACAGGTCCCTTCCCATAGGAAAGGTCTCTCTACCTTCCCCCCAACTCCCCTCCAAGGAGGCTTAGCTCCTCCTGGACCTCCTTGGCTGAGAACTAGCACAAGACAAATCAAAGCCCTCTCTGTCCTGAGCAGAAAAAGAACCACATAAAAGCATTGCTATTTCAAAGCTGCCATCAGCTGTTGGCTTCCAGTTTTGAAACAGTTTGGCTTTCAACTTCGAAGGACCCAGTGACCACAGATTAACTCACTCACTCTTTACAGAGACTGTCGGAATCCTCCAAGTGCTTAGATTCCTTCTACTTCCCTGTTTTCTCTCCTCTACATCACCTTTGTTCGAACAGGTGTTGTGTTACTGCAATTCCTGCCCCGCTGCAGTTGTTGCTGTGCAGCCAACAGGGTGGCTCTGGGAGAAAAACACATCCAGGGCTCCTTCTCCGGCTCTTCTGCTCGCTGTAAATACACAGCACGCAAAACCAGTCACCTGGAAGCTGCTCCAGCTTGTCAACAACCTGAGCACAGTCACATCAAGTTTGCTTGAACTGGAAAAAGGGAGAGGGACAGACATGGCACAGCAGACTGTAAAACATCGCAGGGTTGGGGCTTTTTTAAGCTCACAGTGCATGGAGGGCTCCAAGGTTATCGGGAATGAGCCACAGCAGCAGCAGGCGCACCCATCCCACGTTTTCAGGACCCTCTCTGCTGCTGCTCACCCTGGAAAGGAAGCTTTGCCACGAGGGCTTGGTTTCACCAAGAGAACACACACACACGTGTCTGTGACCCTCTCGTTCTTCCCCAGTTTCTGTGGGAACCTGAGAAACGCTGACGCCGTATCCCTGTCTTTACGCTCTGGGCTGCTTTCTTTGTAAGCGCGGATCGTATGGCATTAGGAGGCTCCAAAGATGTCCATAGAATGGCACGCTCCAGGAAAACCCCAGTGAATTTCTCACCACTTTTGCATTTCTGAAGAAACCTGGATGGTCAGGAGGGCAAGTTACTGGTATTAGAGAGAGAAAAGCACATCCTGGGCTTCAAGAAAGGAGTAAAAGGCAGACGGTTTTGTCCGTGCACAGAAGGGCTGCGGGAGGGTCCGTAGCCACCCCAGTGGAAAACAACTCCACTCTCTGCCCGAGATAATGACTCGGATAACAAAATCATCACCGGAACGTTTCGCTGCTCCCCACAACTCCTTGTTTTGCCTCACATACTGGAGCTGGCCCAGACCACACCTACAATAAATAAGGACTGTTCACTGTAATTACCCCTAAATTCATGCAGTGATTTCTCCCACCCAGTAATTACTATCAGAATTTAATTGCTGGGTCCTTACTATGTAATTACAGATTATTTATGTGTTAAAAAAGAAAAAAATTAAAGCCCTTTTCCATCACACAAAGCCTTCTCCTCCTCGAGGCTTCTGCACATGACCGGATCCCCCAGCTCTCTGATCACAAGATGGCAGCTCCACAGTTGCTTCCCCATCCCAGCTGTGGCAGAACTCCCATCTCGTCCCTCTCCTCCCAGTAGCTCCGTGTACAGGATGGGATTGCAGAGAGCATCACGGTCGGGAACCACCAGCCGCTGCCCCAGTCCCGAGGCTGTTGGGATGTTGTTCCTCCACGCACCAGAAGATCCCTTCCAGCCCAGCAGTTGCATGGCAGTGGGAGAAGCACATCCCACAGAACTGCGGGCACGGCTTACATGTCGTGTCTAGCACGAAGGCGGCAACATTCATCAAACCATCATGGATTATTTTTTGAGGATGGAGTAATCAATGAAGGGACAAACATTCAAATATTCTGTCCATCTGCTCCCATCCTCCCTGGGGAAGGCTGGGCATTTTCAGAACCTCAAATTCTTGTGTGGAACTAACTCCAGTACCTTTAATTCCTCTGTCTGCTTATGACCTCCCACTGGCAGCTCTGGGGTTGGAAACCATAAATGGATGAGAGCCACACTGCATCCCTCTTTCCACCTGCCGTGCCCACAGTCCCAACCTTTTCATTTTCATCAAAAGACACAGCAAAGTACAGAGAGAGACATGTCGCTTCCGTGTCAGTGTTATCCTTTTTCAGGGGAAATGTTTGCAATCGCAGTACAGATTAGCTTTTCCCGGGAGCAAATTCAGATGAAATGAAACAATCACACGTGTTGATTGCAAATGCCCGGTATTTCCGTACCCACAGGTGTACCATCCCTAGGAAATAAGCTGCAAAGACAGGCTTACCAGCAAGAAGTCCAAGGCACTTGCATTCTAGCAGCCATTTTTTGTTTTATTATTTAAAGTTAAGAGCGCTCATCAGCTCACAAATTAACAAATTCCATTCCTGCAGTTTAGTTTGAGTTTCAGCCAAAAGGAGAAAAAAAAATATAGAATGTAGCTAAACTAACTCTGCACTTTACATCTCAATAAAAGTTAAACCTCCTTGCTTTATAAATAAATGTTATAGTTAACACTGCAAAAATGTAACAGCAGATCTACAATATCTGTAAGGGGCAGAGAGCACTGGATTATTGAGGCGTATGGATATGCTGGCTTATAAATACAAGTAGAGAAGCTTCAGTAGCACACAGTGCAGGGCTGTTTGCCAGGGTTCTGCTCTCCCAGTCTTGACCTTTCGCAAAGCTCACAGGCAGCTGCTTCACCCCCAACTGTGCTTTCCACTCTGCCCAGGGCCAAGAAACCAGCCACAGGCTGCCAAAGCCCAGTCACTCCCCCCCTGTAAGAAGATAAACTGCTGGAACAGCATCATGTTTACCAACACGGACTGTTTACCACCAAGGAGGGTTCTGCTAATGGAGGCAAACACCTACCCTGAGACTATGGATTTCCAGAGAAAAACAAGTTGTGTGCAGATCCTAATTAAAGAAAGGAGCTTGCCCAAACAGAAGCCAAATGAGATTTCGAATTCAATCTTTGAAGTAGCACCATCCTCAGTTGAAGTTACAAAAACGACCAAAAGCCAAAACCAGATGCTAACGACCCACTCCGTGTAGGTTTTCAGAATGGGGTAATTGACAGAGCCAAAATGGTTGATACTAATAAACCTCAAAAGAACAAGAAGGCACCTTTAACTTTCATTTCTTTCTTGTTTCTTCCTTCAGACCACCCTCATGCAAACATGCTACCAACATTCACTTGCTTTAATGACCCCCCCCAAGCACCACCCACGCTACAAGGACCTCCCATCCTAGAGGGCTTGCAGGAGCGTGTCCTCAAAGATGGTTCATAGTGGTTTGGCTCTGAAACTGGGCCGTATCCACCCTGTACAGCTCAATCCCTGCCGACCTCCAGAGCTAAAGGACCTCCACGTGGGGAAGGGAGTGAAGGTGTGCAGAATGGGCAAGCTAAGGGCCTGAACGCCACGTTAGTATTTCAAGGTAGCAGTTTTTCCTCCCCATTCATAAAACCCAACATCTATTGATGTAACTATTTAACCAGAACTGACCTTACTATATCTTACAGGATTGAAGAAGTCTTGCAGCATAGATAGGGCCTGGCTCTAAAAGAGAAAAAATAACCCAGCTTTATGCACAACCATTGAAATCTCAGGCCGTTAACACCAATTGCTACTTGGCCAATCAAGGGAGAAAAAAAACACAACACGTTTTCAGCAACCCAGCCCTACTGCCACGCAAGGCAACTACCTCAGCAGAGCACAAGCCACTCGGCTGTTGGACTCATACTGTACCACATCCGAGAAGAGGGTGGGGAAAGAATTAGTTGGAAGATCTTTTATTCCTCACTTGCATTCCCATCTGTTCGTTATTTGGGATGGGAAGGGCTAGAGCACGCGTGATGTGTAGCTGCTCCAAAGCAAAATGCTGAATTAATTCAGCACTAATGGGAGAGGCAGCAGGTCCCAGGGAATCTCCATTTTCCTTCCTTCTCAGGACAAGACGGTTGGCATGGAAAAGGGCAGGGGCTGCAGCCTTCTCTGGATACAGTGCACTGGAGATATCTGGTACCTGAAGATGACAACAATGAGGGACAGCCGTGAGCTCTCAAGCCTCCTCCTCCTCCTCCTCCCCTACCCCTGCACACAGCAGCTCGATGGTGACAGATGAGGACAAAGCTCACAGCCCATCTCAGCGCAGCGACGACCTTCGGCACCCAGGCAAGGACGGCCCGAGATCTCCGGCTGCACCACCTCTGCAGGGTGAAACGGGTGACGGGACAGGCTGGGGACTTCAGCTCTCCCACCCTAGTGCAGTTCAATGAAGGCTTCCAGCTCCTCAGGGATGAAACCCTTGTAGGGAATCTTGTGCTTGTCCAGGGCGCGAGCAGCAAGGCACTGGAGGGTGATGTAGTTGAAGGGCTGCATCATGCTCTTGGTGAGCAGCTTCTCATCCAGCAGCTCATAAGCAGTCTGCTTGAAGGCGTTGGTGGCGTCCATATGGGCTCCAGCCTCCATCAGGGCACTCATGATCAGCGGGCAGTTGTTGCGGGCAGCAACATGCAGAGGGGTGTTGTTGTCATAGTCACGGCTATCTGGGTCAGCCCCACACTCCAGAAGCAAGTTCACGACATGGAGCGACGGGAACTTGCCCACGGGATAACGTCCCACCGTTGTGGTATCTTTGTCCACAGCCATATGCAAAGGAGTGAAGCCATTCTTGGCCCGGGGGCTGCACTTTAGCAGGCGGTAGATAGTCTGGCGCTTCTGGTGTTCCTGCTCCGGGGTGCACTCCACCTTCTCCAGCAAGAACACCAAGTGGAGGATAATGGCCAGCGTCTTGGTGAACTGCGCTGAGTCGACCACAGGGTCCTTGCCATGCACGAGAGCTCTCTCCACCTCCCGGACACCTTTGCTCAGCACTCCCATGAGGTCAGAGAAGCCCAAGTGGGTAGCTAAAGTGCCTTTGGAGCGGTCCTGAAGCACGTAAGAGAAAAGCTCAGCAAAGGAAAGGAAACTGCTGGCAGTCATCGGGCTGAGAGGCTCGAGGTTGCCTTGCTGCATGTCCAGAGCGTACTTCCACAGGTTAATGCAGCGTTCGAAGTTGCCAGAGTCGGCATAGACTGCTCCTCGGTAACGGATGTAATAGGAAGTGTCTGGGTGGGACGGGCCCAAGATGCGCTCCCTAATCAGCAGTGCCTGCATGCGCATCTCGTCTGGATCAGTAATCAGGGCTTCCAGCTCCTCCAGCGAACTCACTTCCCGGGAATAGTCATAGGCCAACACCAGCTGCCGAGGCTCAGGTTTAGGCAGGTATTGCCCACCCTCGCACCGAAGCTCCATCGCCCTTCGCCAGTACTTGTGGGCTCCCAGAAGGTCACGTTTCTTATCCACAAACGTAGCACCCAGCAACTCCAGTGCTTCCACAGCAGCCTCTCGAGTGCAGAACACATTAGGGACCTGCTGCTCATCCTGACTGGAAGCTGAGGCACAACATCTCTCACACCCCTCTTCACTGCAGCCCTGAGGAGCTTCCTTGCCAGCGCTGCAGCACCTCTGACGGCTCCCACCTGATGCACAGGTCCCACTTTGGTTCCTGGCAACCTCCTCCTCCTCCTGCTGCAGCCCTCCTTGGATGAGGTACTCCACAATGTTGGTGTGACCGGTGACACTGGCAGCTAGCAGAGGAGTCATGCCATAGCCGTCTTTCTCCATGCGGGCTTTGGAGCGGAGCAGCAGCTGCAGGATCTCCAGGCTGCCGGACTCGGCGCAGTCATGCAGGGCCGTGTTCCCCTTCACACTCCGGCGGTTGACATCAGCCCCTTTCTCTAGCAAGTAACGTGCGATCTCCCGGTGCCCTTTGTAGCACGAAATCATCAAACACGTGTGTCCGTGCCGGTTGGCTACTTCCAGGTCGGCCCCGCGCTCCCCGACCAAGTAGCGCACAATCTCCAGGTGCCCGTCGAAGCAGGCGGCCCGCAGCGGCGTGGAGTTGGTCAGCGTGGTCTGGTTCACCGAGGCGCCGTGGTCCAGGAGGCTGCGCACCACCCCCAGGTGCCCGGCGGCGGAGGCGGCCCACAGCGGCGGGGCCCCCTCGATGGTCTCCCCGTCGAAGCTGA